GAGAGAGATGGCAACACAAACTCAGTGTTGACAATCAAACAGAGCTAAAATCATAGCCTCATAAACAATGCATCTGCCATAAATAAAGCCTTCAAACTCGAAGAAGATTCTATCATAAAACCCAACTAGGTGAGAATGACCAACGAGATTTCTTTCTCAAGGGAAAACTTCTACGAAGTATAAGCAAACTTTTTCTTTTGGGAGGTGACAAGTGGTATCAGAACAGATTACTGCTTGCCAGGTGTGTAGACTCTCCATGGTCCAGTGGGACCCTCGGTGGAGTCGATCCGTGAAGAGGGCGTCACATGATTGAGTGGAGGAGAATGTCACGGACAAATAGTCCCACATCGGCTAGGTGTAAGGCCAAAAAACAATATTTAAGTCCTGGGCTGCCCACCACCCATATGGGCTCTTTTGAGAGGTGACAAGTAAAGTCGTTGGGTTTGAAAATGATGAGAGGCTATTTTTGGAACCAACAAGCAAGAAGTTCGCTCATTTGGATATCAATGAATATGCTCAAAGGGATAAAGACAAGTACGAACCATTCAATTCATCCCTTTCTCCATTGCCAATCTCGTCTCTTAAAATTCTTATATATCTCATTTATTTCCCCTTCTCTTCTCAGTACACTAAATAAAGGTTGTTAGGAGCAATAAAGTCAGCATTAAAGTCATCGAATCTCCGACTAATGGCATCATGGCATGTAAACCCCCATTAAGAATATTTATGTATTTACAAACGTCGATTAGTTTTCTTGACAGGTTTGCAAGCATTCAATATATTCTTATCCTTATCATTAAGCATCGTTATTATAATACTTTATACTTGGGAAACTCAACCTATTGATAATATTTTGATCAATCAATACTCATCTGATGTTCACATAGATACTTTTGCTTATATGTTAACAAAAGAGAAAACTCTACACATTTATATAAAAAATTCTTGTACATTTCAAGCCTATATTGGGTGAATATAAAAAGTATTATGCTACTTAAATTAGTCATGATGAATTTGAAAAACTTTTATAATAACTTACCATTATTATATTTTTTTTCCTCATGGCTATGCGCGATTAGAATACAAAAAGGAAAACTTGATCTATGTGAACCATGTTAACAAAAGAAGCATTGAAAAGGCTGAAATTATTGTAATTCCTATTGTTGATGAACAATATTGGACTCTTCAAGTTGAAGATTTGAAAAAGAAGAAATGAAATTTATATGATCACCGTTGAATCTTCAACATCGGGATATTTATTTCATATTGTAATGACATACCAATTAGTTTTTTTTTTGTAATTTGATATTTGCTTTGATATTGTGGTATCTTAATTATTTTATTTATTGCTTGTGTAGGTAAAACTTCCAGCCAATGATTTGTTTGGTGCTTTCAAAGGGAATATAAAAAAATAAAAAATTCATGGTGTGAAAGGTTTGCTTATGCAAACAAATGATCATGAGTGTGGAATGTTTGTGTGCAAATATATGAAATCAATTGTAGGCACAAAACCTGTAAATTGGGTTGACTATCAAGATTGACAGAACATAATGAACTTGTTCAAGGTTTAGTTTGTGTACACAGTATGTTGTCTTGCACTGAAATGATTGTCATCGAAATTTTTAATTGTTGTGAGAGTTAAAATTGATGTATAACAGTCAAAATTGATAGTTTGATTTGATATAAAAACTGTTGATAATTGTTTTTTTTTGCTATAAATGACATTTTTACTAATTTTCAATTGAAAGCTTTAACCTTGTAATTGAGCTGAAATATGATGTTTATGAAATTTTAGGTTAGATTTCTATAGAAGAATGTTGAATTCTAAACCACTAAGATGTTTTTCAATTCATGTACATCTATATTTTGCACTTCTAATTTTGCCAAAAATGACGGTTCACCACTTCGGAAATATTTCCTAAGTTTCACGAAGATTGTGCATTTCGATCACATAGACTATAGAATATTTTTCACCAGGAAATTTCAGCTTCACCTGTCTTTTCCAGCGTTTGATTGTAGCAAAGTCCTTTACTAACCAATCCATCACCAAAGTAACATTAAAGGTCTGAATTGGTGTGATAATCAACTATGTTGGCAACTTCTTATCATGCACAATAACATGCACTACAATTTTTTTATCGGCATAAAACTCATTTCCCGAGGGCATAATAACACACAAACAACAACAACAACAACAATAATAAACCTTTATCCCACTAAGTGGGGTCGATCGATTACATGAATCCTTCCTTTTTCTTTATTGTGTCCTATTGATTGTCATATTTTCATTTATTCTTTTCAACAAATTTTATGTTGATTGTCAACTGCCTAACACAACCCTCCACTTTTCACACATAAAATAAGAGTAAAATGCATAGTATCAACATGTAACCTGGCAGCAAACTCATCAGAAATAAAAGAATGTGAAGCACTTGAATCGAATAAAACATTGTCGGGCTGATCTTGAATTAGGAGTATATTTGTAACCATGTCTTCTACTTCTTTGGCTTCTTGAGGGGTAGTTGCAAAAACTCGGGCTCTTAATGATTGCTCTGTTTCGCGTTCTAAAGTTTCACCTATTGTTTGCACTGAAGACTTTCGCAAAAATTGAGTTATGTTGGGTTGACTGCCTTCCAAAATTTTTTTGGATTGTCCCTGCCCTTGAATTCAACAGATGAGGTGATCACCTCGTGAGGATGGCAAGTGATCCATCAAAGAGCATACTCCTTCAGAGTCATGAAGAATATACGAAACTTCTACACATTGCTAATGTTCAATAAAGAAACAACAGCTTTAAACAAATCAAAATGTCCATGAGATTGTTCTCTTACATGAATCTAAGGAAAAGACCTTCAACCTATCCAAAGACTTGGCCTCTGTCACTTCCTTGGAGAAAGCATTCTCCGAGAAAAACTTTCTCTTCATCTCCCATATCCTTCCCTCCCAATGATGGGAGTTAAAGTTTTCACTATCAAGAGAAAAGGTATCATCATCTTCATCCACCAAACTTGATGTAATGCCATTAGAACCTCTCGATGTCTCCTCAACAATAAATCAAAAGATCCAATAGGTAGCTCCACATGAACCCTAGAAAGGTGCTCCATCACTTTCTTGATCATCTTTGTCAGCTCATCATTAAACTATGGAACTGCTTCAATATGAACCTTTTGATATCCTCCATATTAATGAATGTACCTCTATCATTATGATCGACTTCTTGCAATGCTCTCTTCTAGTTTGTAAATTATCCACGCTCACCTCACCTAAGAAAATGTTAGGCCCTAAATTATCCATGGCTCACAACACCTAGATAAAAACACTTGGAGAGAGAAGAGAGAATGACACAGATAAATATATATATATATATAGAGAGAGAGAGAGAGAGAGAGAGAGAGAGAGAGAGAGAGAGAGAGAGTTGTGGAGAGAAGGAAGTTTTAAGATTTTATTAGTTAATGGAAATAAGTGAATATTGTGTAGCTAAGCTCACTTTCTCTCATTACATAATATGATTCTCAACTTTAACTTCGTATTCATAGATTTGAGGGCAATATTGATTAATGTATATAATTAGCTGCAAGAAAAAAAGATGAAAAAATTATAAAAATATGTAATAATATGGCATACTCTATAGCTTTATAGGACCGAGCTAGCAAATAGGCGAGTTGTCAATTTAGCTAACGGGTTTGTTCAAGCTAACAAATTGATGAATATATGAGGTTTGTGGGTGGGTCAACCAAACAATACGCTTAACTTACCAATATAGTATTTTGATGGACCTGACCCGATCCGCAGGTATTAGCCTACCTTATGCAAACATAAACTTCAATTGATATATCAGATATTTGGTCATACATACATATTTTTTTATTTTTGTTTATTCTCATTTTGTCTAAAGGACTTTGTTTGAGTAGATCTAAAACAAAATACATAAAAAATAACTTTAGTAGTAGAAATTCTAGTGACAGAGTTGTAAGCATGGGTGATCAAATCAATAAAAGGTGTGAGCATTTTAGATATGTCAGGTCTGTTGTTCAAAGTGATGGGGATATTATTAGTAGAATTCAAGTTGGTTGGCTTAAGTGGAGGAATGCATCATGCTATTGTGTCATAAAAAGTACTGCTTAGACTTGAATAAAAATTTTATAAGATGGTGAAACCTGCAGTTATTGGCATATAATGTTGGCCTTTAAAAGAGAAGCATAAAACTAAGTTTTAGTGTTGTTGAGATGAGAATGCTTAGGCGGATAAGTGGCTTGACACTTAGAGACAATGTGAAATGAATGTATCCGTGAAAGGATTGGTCTAGCTCCAATGTCAGACAAGATTAGAGACAGTCATCTTAGATGATTTGGTCACATTAAACGCCGATCATCTCATGATTCGGTTAGGAGAGTACATGCTTTAGACTCAACTTATGTTAAGAAAGGTAGAGATAGACCTATAAAGAAGTGGATATATTGTATAAAAAATTATCTTAATTTATTAGGATTAAATGCAAATATGACATTCAATTGGACAAAATGAAAAAAAAAAAAAGGATTCATGTAGCCAACCCCACTTAGTGAGATAATAACTTCTTCTTGTTGTTCATTTTGGCAGAATAAAATAAATTTGTTAATCGTCAATATAAATTATTTTTTTTCTTGTATTGAATATAAGTTGATTTTTATGATCTTTGTGGTGGTGGTTGATGGGATGACTATAGCTCGATCGCGTGATAATAATGGTAATGGTTGGTGATAACAGTCACCAATGGTGGTAAAGGCAGTGGTAAAAATAGCAAATAGTACAAGGGTGAAATGGGAGGTCGCAAATATAATAGTTTCTAGCGAAGATGACAAACAATAGTAATTATTTTAAAAGGAAATTCAAAACGCTTAAAATTTTTTAAGAGTTTTGCAAAACAGTTCAATTTATTTTCAAAAGCCAAAAATGTAAAAATAATTAATAAATTCAATAAACAAACATTTAAAAAATAATAATAATAAAGTTAATGCCAAACAAAACCAAAATTAATTGGATAATTTTGATGCAGAAGCTCGTCTCCACAGATATATAAATAACTGGAAAATTAATGGAGCATTACCTGATACAAATCACAAAAAAATCTCCCATTTCTTTACAGCCATGGCTGTCATTCAAGAAGCCTATTCAAATGCAGTAAATCTCTCTAATGTGGCTTCAATTATATGTGACCCTTAAGAAGTTGAATTCTTGCTATTGTTGCTGCTCGCAGTTTTTTGTTGAAATGCAGCGCTGCATTATGCGGATTGGGATTCCACCCAAGTTGAAATCCTCTTTGAGAGACTTGATCAGAAACCTTATGTCTGTGTCAGAAAGCTGAGCTTTTCCGCTCAGGAAGGAGACAAATGTCGGCGGTCGAGCTTTAACTTGAGTGAAATATTTGATTTTGGGTTGCGTGGCTTGGTCTTTCCACGAATGCCTACTCATAACCTGCTCAGTCACATTTAGCAGACAGATTAACATAACAAAAGGCATTTAGTAAGCACTAGGTTGAAAATGAGTTAAGCCTAACTCAAGCTCAGCTCACACTGATGATGACAGGCTCGCGAGCTCGGATCAAAAATCAAATTATCATGAATACACCAGAGAAACCATCAATGGAAGGAGGAGCAGTGTCACGACAGCTCATCGGAGAGGTCATCAACATGACCATCAATTGGCTAGTCAAGTTGGCTCGCGAGCTGACGAGCCGAGCTCAAACAAGCTTGAACTCAAGCTCATTTAATAAACGAGTTTGAGTTTGAGCTCAAATTTGACTAGCGGGCTTATTAGCGAGTCCAGCTTGAGCCAGTGCGGCTCATTTACACCCCTAGTAAGCATATATAAGGCCCAAAAATTCCACCTTTCTTCAATCAAATAAAAGAACGGAAAAAGGTAAAATATTTTCATTTATATGCAAGGCATCATATGCTAAAGAAACTTTAGCAAGGGTGAGTGTGTTATGATACGTGTGTGTGTGTGTGTGTAATAGCCACTTGATTATTTATATAGGATCATTTTAGTCCCAGAGTTCATAAATGTGTCAAATTATTCCCAAGACTCTTTTAATGGGGGTTTAATTAGTCCTCCTTATTGCTATTTTAACCTATATTAAAAAGGTCGGGGGGCAAAATTGATGCTTTTATAAATTTTGGAACTAAAATGACCCATTGAGAAAAACTAACCAGGAGATCATTTTGACAATTCTCTCTCTATATATAAAGATAAAGTATTTGTCAAATATAATATGAAGAAATTAGCAAGTAAGAAGCAATAAGAACAGAATTTAATACATGGCATGAAAGCATTACCTTCCTCAACCAACGGTTTAGGCGAGCAGTAGACAATCTTGAGCACCACTTCTGGTATGCGTCGACTACCTGGTGCATAACTTCTACTCGACCCCTTCCCTCCATTGCTGAAATAAATAAGACAGGAATACCAGTAATCTGTAAATAACAAAAAATAACTCCGTCATGATATAGGCAATACTTAAATCTTGTGATTAAGCTAATAATAAAGAGAATTTCAAATGAGGTGTCTTTAAAGTCAGAACGACTAAAGTTAAGGCTAGATGGTTAAAATGAAAGAGTATCTCCAAAATACTGTGATAAGAGGATATTTTGGAGACTCACAAGTAAATTTTATAAAATTAAAATTAGGCACCCGAGTGTTACATGGGCTCGAGTGTTGGGAAGTGATATTTAAAAAAAAAAACATTAATAAGTTAGCATATAAAAAATGAGATTGTTATGGTGATATATGTCAACTACAAAGGATAAGTCGAGGAATGATCATAACAGAGGAACAATTAGAATGATATCTAAAGAAAATAAAGTTATTAAAACTAAGTAGAAGTATATTTGAAATGAACATTGAACGGTAAAAAAAAAAAAAAAAAAACGCATGAAATATACGACTATATAAAATTGATTTTGAACGTTTAAAGAGGGTTAGACTTGAAATAACATTGATAGAATTAACAACTCAAAATATATCCACTGGGAATAAATATAAAATAATGATCATAAAATCAAAATCCAATAGTTGAAATAAGATTAATGAAGCTGATGAATATAATGATAGTTTATAATCCTAACAATGTTTATAAGCTTATAAATTTAAATTAATTTTTTTATAGTAGATATATGCACTTCCATGACTGCAGTGGAATTTGTTACCCAAATCTCAATTTTTTGCATTCACCCAAATAACTTTTAGCATTCCTTATATTTCCTACAACAGCTTTTGTTTCTGAAAACTAAAAAACAAAAAATTTGCATTTTATAGGTACACTTGAAATATGACGTGTGTTGGCAGGCTTCAAAGGATGGCAAGAATACTTGTTGGCAGCTGCTAGAGCTTTTCCCTGTATGGCAGAATTACTGGATAACTGCAGAAATTGATGAATTGTATTTGTCGTCTCAGCATATAAAGAAGCACGCAGACAGCAGGGTATCTATTGGTTGAATTCTTGGGATTTTACATATTGTATTTAATAATTATTTTTTCAAATTAAAACCTGCTATAACATTTGAATTCTTTTTATAGCTAGTAGTTGTTTAATTCATCCTTACTTTTCACCTTTTGAAGCTTCTCCACAATTTCATATAGACCTGCATATCTTGTACTTTATATGACTTCTATTTGAAATTTTAAAAGTTAGTATTATGGAAATAATAGTCCACAATAATGTTATGGTATAAAAGAGTTATTAATCCATAAAACGTAAATAAATATCATCAAACAAAAAACATACGAACAACCAACTTGAAAAAAACTAAAAAATAAAATTGAACAAACATAAAATCCAACAGCCTGTTATATCTCAAACAATTCCTCTCCCCTTATAAAGAAACTCCCTCATATCATATCTTAGCGAATAATTATCGCTTTATTATACACTAAATAATAATTTAAGTTTACAACAACTTAGCGAATAATTATCGCTTTATTATACACTAAATTATTATGCAAAGGCTTAATATAAATCCATAAGAAATACACTGATCAATCTATAAATTAAGTTCTACATTTTCTTTTTAAAAAAATTCATTCAGTCATCTTAATCAAGTACATTTGTCATCACATTTTCTTTTAAGAAGTAATCTTAAGAGCAATGTAAAAAATTTATACGAATAAAGGTATAACTATTTTCATTTTTATTTATATTTTTATTTCTTCTTTCTACTTTCATTTTATCTAACCTTCATACAATATACAATCCATCTTCTATTATGTACTGTATATGTCCTTGCACAAAATATTTTTTGATAAAACTATGCAAATGAAACAACTGTAAAAAGTCAAAAGAATAATAAATCAGAATAATAGGTACTAAATATGTGCGACAGTAACAACGAAATCATCTGGGCAAACAGCTTAAGCTAGAAGAGTATTCAGTCGACCTCTAAATAAGTACAAACATGGTGTGTTACATGCACAAATGAAGATATATCTTGCTATATGACTTCGATGTATGAATTCCATATTTAAAAAGGACGAACATACCTGAGGAATTAGAGTCTGTATTTCTTGAGGTACTATTTTAAGAACCTTCTCATGTAACAAAGTATTTTGTTTTCCTCTGAGAAGATCCATCTTGTTCACTATCACAATCAGAGCTCGACCCTCTTCAACAGCTTGACGAGCTATAATCACTTCATCATGCTTCATACTTCTCTTATTTCTTGCAATCTAGATATGTGTATCACACCATAAAAATGTTATAACTATAGGTAACGATACAACATACTATGGCAATGAAATGTTATAATTATAGCTACAGATATATCACACCTGAGTTTTTTTTTTTTTTTTTTCTCATAAACAGAATGAATAGCATAAATTAAAAGGCAACGAGAGGCCTCCATATAAGAACAAACTTGGTAATTTCCCCGGCATTCTAAATTAGGTAAAGTCAACATACAAGATATTTTTAGAGGTCAATATTTATGCTCTATTGGATAATGGTTTGATATTGCTGTACAACTAAAATGCATGCTATGTCTATTTTGCACAGGGCGATTTCAAGTTAAAGCATCCTTTTAAGTTGGTAGGATGATGCCGAGAAGAGAATAAGATTTAACTACAAGGCAACATAAGAGCAGAAGAAAATATAAGGAAATAGATAGAGCAGAGGAGAAATTTTCAATATTCAATGCCCTTAAGATGTCGTTTATGTATAGAGTAGCGAGCTCAATATAAATACTAAAAAAATTCCAGACAAATATAGCACAAGAAATGATGTATCCTTACTGCATGATTAAAACTCACTTTTCTTGCTGGATCAGCAGTGAATTTTTAAACTCGCTTTTCTTAATATACTTTTCTTGCATGATTAAAACTCACTTTTCTTGCTGGAAGAAGATCATGTAATCAATGCTGGATCTGCAGTGAATTTTTAAACTTCGAAATATCTTGCTTAAACTTTCTAATTAAGCACGCAGAAGGTTTAATAAAAAATTTACTTAATATTGTTAGGAGCGGTTATATTCTCCCATGAGATAAAATTCCTGCATTATTGAGGGAAAAGTTATGTGAGGTCAAACTTATTTCATCAAACATTCTTGTTAATTAACATTGTGAAGCCCCGAATACCAGAGTCCAACTTCTGGTCTCTTCAGCACACTCTCTAATCAAATTTTATTACATTGCAAACAATGAAGATACAAATGTTCCAATTTACATCTAGTTTCTTCTTCCACACTAAGATTTATTTACTCTTTTTGAGCTGTTATAATAGAAGAAAGGCCACCAAGTATTTTTTAAAAAAAAAAATAATTCTTACACCTCGCTATTGCTCTTTATTTTGCCCATGCAACTGATTAAACTAAACTAAAATATTTTTATACAATCAGCCCCAACTCACAAACACCGAAAGCAATAATGTGCCATTCGCTTGAAAGATTGTATTTGAAAAGCCAAAAAACAAGGTGTCATACCTCCTCTGCATCGAGTATCAATGCTACAACGTGAGCCCTCATGAGATTTTTTCTTGTCTGCACTATACTCAAAGACGACGGGCCTTTTTCTTGTCCAGATCTATGCAACCAACCTGCCGTATCCACCTAAACAGTACAAAAGTTACAAAATAAAAACAACCAGCCTATTTATATATACCAGAATAGTAACAAAAAATTAACACACAACATGATGAGAGCAATGTCATCAGTGTAGAGCAGCTGGAACAGAAAGAAGAACGGGCAGGAAAAGAAGCAGATAAGAAGTAATTTCTCTGTGATATTCTTTTCAACTATTTGATGTAGTGTGGGGTACATTATATGTGTGTGTGTGTGTCTCTGTGTATCCATGCATACATCATACATACATCGATACATAATCCAAGGAAGTAAAGTAAGATTTATATTCATACCCGATATGCTAAAGAATGCCCCAATGTTCAAACGTTTGATGCAAGAATCAGGGGAAAAGGGTCTTCTCTTGGTGTTGGGTGTGGCCATGCAGTCGCTATGCGAGCAAGAGCTCAAGCTGCCGGTAGGGCTGCACCCCCTTCTCCGGTCAGGAGATGATCAAACTTTCCTGTGTGTATTTTTGACTATCAACTTTAATATGCTGAATGTTGAAATTGCTTTATAAGTAGATTTTATTTTTCTGATCTTAATGTTCTGAAGCTGTTGGGTCCTGAAGATTTGTCTTAATTTTATTGTCTTTGCTTAAAGCTCTTCTCCTTAATATATATATATATATATATATATATCTATATATGCATCACAAGTGTTTTGTATAGAG